CTGATGTGAACCAGCCCTGCCTGTGGCTGCAAAAGTAGCTGCTGTGTGATCAAGACTTAACTTCAGAGGGTACAAAGTGAGGCATGTTTAAGGGGCTGTCATGGAGTAAGTGAGGGCAGGAAGCAAGCCTTTACTGCAATCTTTCAGCTGGCAGGAAAACAATTGTTCTTTACTGAAGAAATGCTTTGAGCAGTGAAGAAGCGAGTGTGAGGCTCTGGATGAGCACATGGTTTGAAATCTTAGATCGTCCCGGTAAGGGGCTGTCTCAGCGTAAGTTAAAGACAGACTCAAGATGAATTGGAAAGGCACTCAGCATTTCGCATTCCCAGGGTCAGGTTCTGGGTTTAACAGGTTATACTGTGGAATGTTTATAAAGCAGATTTTACGGCCCGTTAACAGAGGAAGAAAGTAAGATAAATTATTAAAATGATCCACGAACTAAGGGAGGCCGCGATCCAGAATCAGGTGTGCATGATTTAAAACTCATTTATTTTTTAGAACAAAGTCAATTGTTCGTTCCACTATTCTAATGTCTTAAGACGCTTTCATGATAACATCTGCAACTTGTTTAACATTTTTCAGTATGAAGGTGTGGGTGTGTGGGTGTGCGTGCGTGCGTGCATGTGCGTGTCTGTGCATGCGTGCACACACACTTTAAGTTACAGTCCGGAGGCAGCTAGCATTCTACCCAGAAGCCACGCGGTCATGCACATTACAGCCGAAGCTGCAGCCACTGAAGGGGGAGGTTACTGCAGGATTTGTTCTCTATTCCTTTAGCCAACTTACCGAATGGGTTTTCTTTGATGACATCAGCTGTTTGTTAATTAGCAAAAATGTTAGCTAATATTAGAAAAGAGATACCAATAGTGAAATTAAAGATATTAAGGATGTGTTGTTTGGCAAAGCATCTTTTAGAGACACCGCGGCCTGTGTCAGATGGTATAAGGTTCCGGGGACTCCTGTGACCTGAGCCGTGGAGAAGGTTCTAGAGTCTGGATCACGTAGTGATCCTGTGCCAGCCACTAGCTTAGGAGGCTTTCTGTTGCCTGGCATTGACTCTGAGAGTAGCTGGATCCTGCTTCTAGAATAATGCTACTGCTGCCTGAAGGGAATGTTATTTCAGGTGTACCAAGTCCGAGAGCCAGGACTTCACTGAGCTTTCAGAAGAGTTTATATCCACAGCACTGGGCCCACTTGCTATAATTATTCATTTAATAAATATCTATAGTCGAGAGTAGCTATTTCTTACCTCACTTTTCAGTGGCTAATGTTGTCTTTAAAAAGGAATCTCAAAGAATGTGTGTGCAAATGGCCCAAGGTCAGTCTATAATTTTGTTTTTCAGGTCATTTGTGTCAGAACCACTTAAAGGTTAATCCTGCATTTTAACGTTCTAGGGGAAGGTCTGAGAACCTGAATTGTAACGAGTTTCCTAGTGATTTTCATACACTCTGAGGACTCAGCTAACGAAGATATAACCAAGGACGCATGATGACCATTGGCTGACAGCATTTCTCAATGGCAGATCAAAAACCCAAGAGGAAGGAAATGTGCTTCTGGCTGCTGGGTTTGAAAACTAAAATCTGTAAAGCAATAGCAAATGGCCAACCATAAAGCCCTCATCTTCTCTAAACTCCATGCCATAAATTTGTGGTTGTAGCTATTTGCTTAACGTCTACATGGAAACAGATCAAAACTGGCCACAGGCATTCAACAAGCCCATCTGTGGCCAAAGATCCTCCACTGTCATTTGGATGGGTGGGAATAAGCAATAGCTTTCCAACTAACTATATAATCTATTTTCTATGACAACGATGGAGACTTTCTATGGCCCCAAACTCACCATATTAAATATACTGGGTTGTTGGAAAAGTCATGACGCATTTTTGCAACGAAAAATATCGAAAAAATACATCATGACTTTTCTGACAACCCAGTATTTTTGGAGGGAAACCAGTTTGGCTTTTGGGCCACTTTTTCTCACATCAATAAGCCCCCAATTTATTCATACATAAGACATCCTGTCTGACTTTCATCCACTCATCAAATATGTAGACAGCCTTTTTAAACTTGGGTAGCTCTGACTTCCAACAAAGATCATGAAAGATTAAAGCAGCAGACCTCCAGGTCAGGACTTCTGTCTCTGAGGTGTCACTTGTCACCATACCACGTTGCCGAGGGAAGCAGCACCCCGGCACAAGGAGTCGGAGGCCTTGAATTCAGGTACTGGACCCAAAGTCAGCGGCAAGTCAGTTAGCCTCCTGGGGTTTCTATTTCTTCTTTTAGATAATTGGGAATACATGCTTGCCTAGCCCTTTTTCAAAATGTACTAATTCACTCATAAATATTTATTTGTTATCTACTATATTCCAGGAATTTTTCTAGGACCTTGCGGGGCACAGTAGGGAACAAGGCATATAAGATGACTGCTCTCAATAGGCTTATTCTAATAATTAGAAAACTGTAAATACAGTGACAGGTAAACATATATTTACATAAGCAGATAAATATAGATGTGACTATTAATAGATAAATTATCAGAGGTACATATATGTGCACATATATTCTTAAAAGTTTAAATCAAAGCCTTTTCTAAGGATGCAATGTATGTGTTTAGATCTCACATTGTATGATTTAAGATGAGAAAGGCAACAATCTAATGAAAGATATATTCATACAAACAACAAATCTAGCACTTTAATAAAAGATGTCTCCATATTTCATTAATAATGAAAATCAATTTCTGGCAGGATGATGCATTCTGTAATATAGAAAATATGCTAGGCTCATTCTACAACACTCTTTCACATACGGCAGAATTTATCATTAAGAGAATCTTCCTGTTTACTCATCTTTTCATTACTTAAGAACCAAGTTATATGTGATAAGATGGCTTCTCATACCAGGCAACCTGTGGTAGGCAGTCTCTAAGATGGTCCCAATAACCCCTGTCCCCTTGGGTAGCCTCCTTCCTTTAAGTGTAGGCTGGATTTAGAAGTGACTCACTTCTAAAAATTGTATATAACAGAACTGATGTGACGCCATTTCCAAAATTGAATTACAAAAGCTTTGGCTTACATCTTGGAAACTTTCTTGCTTACCGGCTTTCCTCTCCCATCCCTTTCCCCTCTCTCCCCTCCGCCCCCCTCCCTGTAGCCCAGTCACCTACAGGAGAGGCCACTTGAAGAGGAGCGGTCCTGACGGATCAGAGCCACATGGGGGAGAACTATGACACCCCAGCTAACAACAACACCTACTGTCAACCAAGCAAGCGCCTTCTGGGGATCAGACCCTCCAGCCCAGCAAAGGCATCAAGTGATGTAGCCACACCCAATGCCCTGGGTACAGCCTCATGAGCGTCCCTGTGTCAGAATAACCCAGCTACCCCTTTCCTGAATTCCTAATCTAAAGTAACTGTGGGGTAATGTTGGTTGTTTTAAGCCACTATGGTTTCCGGTAATTAAGTCACACAGCAACAGGTCAGTAATACATAATCCAGACCTGAGGATAGCACTATGAGAATGAATCGATTCAAACCATGCCTCCTAACTCAAATATTTGAATTGGACTAGGAAAATATGCTGACATCATATTAATGCCTTTATCATGAAGAAACACAAATTTGCCACTCTTTTTAACTGAATGGGATTAGAAAGGTTTGGTTTTTTTCCCTGAGATCTACAGAGTTCACTGAATCAAATATAAGGACTTCATAATCAAACCTCATTTAAAACTCTATTTTTAGCAATGTATTCATTAACCATTAAAAAACGGTAATCTTACCTCCAAAGAAGTACTTCTCGCCTGTTGTGACTTGAAGAGGACTATTAGTTCGAACTGCTGATGCCTCATCTCCATCGATGGTGAGAACAGCAAAGTTTTCCTTTGCCAGGAAACGGACCTCATGCCACTGTCCGTCATTCAGCCCGGAGCCTGTTCAGCACAGAATCCAAGTCAGCTTACTTTGTTAACGGTTCAGTTTAAAACAATTTTTAATGTTGACAAAGTCAGAGCTTTATAAGTAAAAACTAACATATTCTCACCTAGGAAAATTCAGTGCTATTTACAATTGCTATCTCATGTTTCTTTAATGTCTATTGAACCAAATAAGGAAGAAAACCAGAACTAGGGAAATAATATTAATGTGCCATTGGGGTGCTTGGGAAAATGAAGGGAGAGAATAAAGTTGTTTGGGAGGTGATGAAGAACTATTTTAATTTAATAGCTTATTTTCTGGTTAGCTTTACTAGACTCGACTCTCATAAAAGCAAATGGGTTTACGGCTTTTGTCTAATGACTCTCTCTGTTGGTATTAACTTTTTTGTACTGTTATTTTTTTCTCAATAACCACATCTGGCAAGTATAGTTTATAGAGATTAAGGACTAAAGAATAAATGTGTGAGTATGTGCAGTTATTGGTGTTAACTGACCATTAATAAGCATGGGTAATAAGACCAGGGTTATATGATCATTTATAAATAAGGTGTCTTTATAATGAAGTAGGTTATATGTAAACAAATAAAGACCAAGAAAATAAATCAACAAGTCCCACCCCTAACAATCACATTTCACTGTTGCCTTTGGGAACAAATTCTATTTAGCTCTCCCTTATATTGACAATAATTTAAAGTTTCTGTTTAATTTGTGTTCATTTTATGAAGAATATTAGAAAATTGAGGAGCATACAGAGTAGAACAGCCATTGAACATGAGTATCTGGAATGAGTTTAGGAAATGCTAAGAGACAGTCTATAAGGCAGAGCTGCTTTCATTGACCTTATGAAGGCCTATGCTATGGCAAAGGGGCAATATTTTGTTCTAGCCTGGTCCAGATAGAATAATCTAGAATCCATGGTAGAAGTTACTTGAAGATACCCTTCAGGTTCACAAAAGGAAGAGAAGCCTTGCAGGTGAAGGTACCCCAGATGGAACGAGTGTAAATCAGGAGGCACTGACCATGGCTTCCAGCCTCTGATCAGAGGTGTGCAAACCACAGGCCCAATCCAGCCTGCGGCCATTGGTTTTTGTGCAGCCTGAGAGCTAAAAATAGTTCTCACATGTTTAAACAGTTGAAAACTAAAAATAATCATGTTAAATTACATGTGAAAATTATAGAAAATTCAAATTTTAGTGTCCACATAAAGTTTTATTGGCATATAGTCAAGCTCATTTATTTACATGTTATCAGACAGAGTCAAATCGTGGCTACAGACACCGTACAGCCCGCAAAGCCTAAACTATATACTGTGTGGTCCTTATAGGGAAAGCATAAACCAGTGGTTCGTTTGTACTATTAAACAGAAATGCTATTTTAAACAAAAAAAGGAAGGCCTGTGGGAGCTTAGATGGCAGTCACAAGTAGGTATTATTTACTGACATTATATTGGTAAATATCCTTACAAATAATCACCCTTCAGGTATTTTTCTCATGGTTTTCCAATTTTAATGTACCGTATTTCCCCCTGTATAAGACACACCCTTTTAAAAACAATTTGGGGTCTAAAAACTGGGTGCGTCTTATACAGTGGTTGTAGGTTCTTTTACTTGCATTTCCTGCTTTTTCGCGCTTGTTTTTGTGCTCATTGTTGTAGGTTTTTTATGACGCATCCAGTTTTTAGACCCCAAATTTTTCGAAAAAGGCTGCATCTTATACATGAGGAGATACGGTAGTAATACACATTGGAGCACATTTTATCTCAATGGAGGAAAATAGAAAATGCCTGCTCTAAAGTAATTAATACTAGGTTATTTCCAATTATAAAATGTATAATACATACACACACATAAATATATATATAATTTTTACACTGTGAAATTATTATGCAAATGTAGTCTTATTTTAAAATTAAAATCAGTTAGCTGTCTGACAAGTCCTCTTGCTTACTGAAATACTTCCTTTTCAAGTAGGTTACTTTTGGGTTCTGTCACAGAACTGATGAACAGAAGACTATTTTCACCAGAATATTTTTCTTTAAAGTATAAAGCTGGGTTTACTGTTGATTAACCATTGAAGTATATGGTTTTGATTTTGGCTTTTGTTTTTGCCTTTAAAATGTGATTAATCCAGCTTTGAAATGCAATTTTGGGGCACAGATGACAAAGGCATCAGTGCTACACATGTCCATTCCCCAAACTGAACCCTAAATAATCACACATTCAGAGGAAGTCGCTTGTCAGACATCTTCTGCTGACAGAGCGGTCTGTTCTAAATGGAAGACCAGAAAGCCTTTCTAAAAATTCCTACGAAATTTTCTTCACAAAATTAATTTATAAATGAAGATCATCAGCTTAATTGTTCATGGCAAAAGAAGATCTATTACTCCAATCAGGAAAATAAAAATGTTATGTTTTTCGCAAGAAACTTAATTCCTAGAGAAATTGGACCTCAGATAAAAGCAGCCTTGTTAATAGCAGCCACCCTTGCATCTGAGCTTGAACTGTGATCTATTCATTGTAATTCCAATCACTATTTTGAACTTTTAATGTTAATCATGGGGAGGTATGCCTCAGCAATCTATGATAGGAATGGGACCCCAAATATAACGGAGTTTGTTCTTCAGTAGGGCAAGACTGATCTAATTGCTCAAAAGAAAATATGCTGCTTCTTTTGAATTTTCTTCACCTGCATGTTATAAAAAATAATAGCCTGAAGGCACTCTCTAGAGAAGAAATCTAATTTCACGATCTCTGTATATGTGACTATTTATAGATAATACTGTTCTAAGCTCTATATAACTGTTACTCTGCTAAGGCCTTTACTTGCATTTCACTCATTTATAATTCACAGAAAATTAAAAAAATTATTATCCCTAATAAATAGGTGAGAAAACTGAATCTAATAAAGTTTAAGCATCTTACAGCTAGTAAAGAGTAAAACTTAGAATCAAATTCAGATATATCTGGTTCCAGAGGCTGAACGCTTACAAACGACAAAAACAAAACAAACAACAACAAAACGTGTTATATAAACTCTGTGCCTCCATGATCAGAGTTTTCCTACCCTATGTGAGTGGGCACGCGTGTGTACACACACACACACACACACACACACACACACACACACACACACACACGCTTCCATTTGGCACCATCCCAGAATAGGAGCTCAATTTCTGGGGCTACCCTTGCTTCATATTAAGGTTGTAAATAAACTGAGACACCATCAATTTTCATCTGCCAACTTTCATTATTTGCACCCTCAGATTTTGGTTGTGCTAGAACATTCCATGTGCTACAAGTCTTTTAGTATTTTCTCACAGTGATGGTTTTCCCTTAAAATTATAGTAAGAATGGAAACTTCATACTACAGATTTGAAAAGCAAATTCTAGCATTCCGCCCCCCCCCAAGGCACATTAAAATATGCCCATGGGTATTTATTTAAATCATTTCCATACTCTGTGAAGCTCTGAGCAAAGAGAACTCTGTGTTCACTATTTTCACTTTATAATGAGTGGACCGGGGCTCTTGGACACACTCTGTTGTTAGTTTGTAGAGCTGAGACCCCCAATCTAGACCATTTGACATTCAAACAGTAGTTTTTTCCAACGACTCAGAACTCAGTGGTGGAAATGTTCTGGTGAGAAAACAAGGGTGCCATGGTTTCAGCATATTTCACCTCTGCTTGCGTCCATCCTGTCCAGTGCAAGGGACAGCCAGGCAACTTTGTATCAAACACAGACTAAAATCCAAACGTGACCTCTCCTGCAAACTTGCTCCAAAATGTGTTTTGCCTTTGTCATTTCCTGCACCACTTGTCACTTACAGGAAGTAGTACAGCATTAGTTTTGTTTCACAGAAGCAATAAGAAATAGTCTCTTTAAGGCATTTTTTTTAAAATTAAGAATAATTTTTATTTCGAATGAAACAGGACATTCATTAAATTAAAGAGCTTCTGGAATTCGATACTATATGAAATTCACTCAGAATACCCTGGCTGATCAGATCACTGCTATAAGATATAAACATATTACATACTAATACATTTATTCAGAAAAAATGTATCATCAACCCAAGCTTTATTAGAAATTTGTGAGTCAGAAATACAAAGGGGACGTCACCCAGCAGGATCAGCGCATTGCTTCTCATTTGATGTTAAAGAGATGTCGCTCCTCCGCTCGCTATGACTGCCCCGGGGAACAGAGACGCCCACCAGGGACTCACACTGCAGACGCAGTTGGCTTCCTGGTGGCTGGACAGAGGCTCAGGACCAGACCAAAAAGAAGGATGCTGGTACTTGTGCTTAAAAAAAAAAGCCCCGTCTCAGGAGGCTAACGTCTCCTGAGAGCCGCATATGTGTCTGGTACCGTCTGCACACACTCCGTGTCACTGTACGCTCTCTTCTCTGCGGTTAGCAGGAAGATGACACAGGACAAGAAACAGCGTGGTAGCTAGGAGGGCTCATTCAGGAGCCAGACCGCCTGCGTTTGCTCTGGCCCCTGCTGATGGCGGCGATTTACTTAACCTGCCTGGGCCTCAGGCTTCGCTTCTCTAAAATGCAAATGAAGTATCCACTTTATAGATTTCTTTTGAGGAGTAGATGAATCAGTGTTTGCACAGCATCAAAACATTGCCTGGCACCTAGGAAGCAGCATATCCATATTATTAGATCAAAAACCAAGGAAGCTTTGATGCATCTCGCTTTTCGGAAAAGGAAGCTGAGGCTTATAGACAGTGATTTGCCTTTGGGGGTTATTACCTCACCATTACAAAAATTGGTTATTATAAACAGCCCTCTAAACAAGACAGTGATGTCACAAGTCTAACAAAGCGGAGCGCATGAATACCTACATATGACACAACTGGAAAAATAGTGTGTCCTAATGTTATGCTAGCAGCCACATGAAGCTTAGAACAACATGTCCAGTGATGGAATTAGACATCAAAACAATTCCTGTGTTCCAACGACTTAGAGGTTAAGATGATTTCCTTGTTCT